TTTTGCAGAGTTGGGGATGTCTCGAGCGAAACGCTTGTTTCCAGAATTTGTTGAGGATGTCTCGAGCGAAACGCTGGTTTTGCAGAGCCGACCGCGACGCGGAAAAGCGCGCCGCGCGCAGGAATTCCGATGATGTTTTGCGCGTGCCGCGTCCCGTGCGCAGGAATTTCGAGGATGTCTCGACGAATTTTGGCCTCCAGGCGCCTCTGGGCGTTCCTGGGCCCTCCTGCGCTCCAGACGACCGCATGTTAAATATCCCCCCCTGGGTGGGCTGGACCACGTGGTTTTACGTGTGCAGGCCACCCAGGTTGTATGTAACATGGTTGTCGCGAGCTGGAACCATATGTTTTTTCGCGTCCAGGCCACCCACGGGGATATCTAACATGGTTGTCCCGAGCTTGAACCATTTGTTTTTACGTATCCAAGCCACCCAGGGGGGTATCTAAAATGATTGTTCTGAGCAAGGACCACGTGTTGTAACGAGTCCAGGCTACCCAGGGGTGTATATAGGTTGGTTTCCCGAGCTGGAACCGTGTGTTTTTAAGTGTCCAGGCCATCCAGGGGGATGTCTAACATGGTTGCCCCGAGCAAGGACCACGCATTTTAACGTTCCGTAGCGCGTCCCCTCGGCACGTCCCGCGGTGCGTCCCCGTGGCACGTCCCCTGGCACGTCGCCTGGCGCGTCCCTTGGGACGTTCCGCGGCGCATCCTCCTGGCATATTCCCCTGTGAATTAGCTCTGGGGCAGCTACTACGTGCTGAGGCAGCTCGAGCTTAAGATCCAGATCAGTTCGGTCAGGACTCGGATGCAAAGGAGGACTCGATCCACAACGCTATAGAGCACAATCGCGGCATGGCACATCGCAGTTCAGCACAGCGCAGCACAGCACAGCCCTCGTACATCAAGATCGATACACTCAGCATTACAACCTGGCACGTTCCGTGGCGCGTCCCGTGGCGTGTCCCCCTGGCACGTCGCGCGGCGCGTCCCCTGGCACGTCCCGTGGCACGTGCATTGGCACGTTCCGTAGCGCGTCCCCTCGGCACGTCCCGCGGTGCGTCTTCGTGGCACGTCCCTTGGCACGTCGCCTGGCGCGTCCCTTGGGACGTTCCGCGGCGCGTCCTCCTGCCATGCTCCCTTGTCAATTAGCTCTGGGGCAGCTACTATGTGCTGAGGCAGCTCGAGCTCAAGATCCACATCAGTTCGGTCAGGACTCGGATGCAAAGGAGGACTCGATCCTCAACGCTATAGAGCACAATCGCGGCATGGCACATCGCAATTCAGCACGGCGCTGCACAGCACAGCCCTCGGCACGGTACATCAAGATCGATCCTTTCAGCATTGCGTTTGGCGCCGTCGCCCAATCCAGTGTCTTTGAAACGTTGCTATGCCTTACATTTCTATATTCCTTTCCGGGTTCGTGGGTCGATCATGTTCGATGACATCCTGCTGTAGATGTCAGAGTAGATGTCAGAAGCCACTTGATCCCAATCCGTCCGTGCTGAGTGTACCGAAGCATTTAAATGTATCGTTCCTTCCCTCCCTCCTCCTGCTCTTCATCCGCCTCATTTCGTTCGTTTCTCCTGTAACCTCTCTCCTGCATGGAATGTTCGGCGTCGTAGTAATCACGTGGATGCTTCGTCGAGATGGGCGCGGAAATCTGCAGTCCAGTTCCAATGTTTCGGCGAGGGGCGTCCTAGCATTCATATTTTTGTGATTGCTTCATGCTGCAGTTTGCCTGCCTGTGTTGAGAACCCGGGCGTTGCACCGGGAAACAGGAAAAATAGAAAAAACAAAAACATCTGCGAACAACATGCGTGTCCGCAGATTGTGCTGTGGGCGCACCCCCTGTCCGCAGATTGTGCGCGCACAAGCACAGGCAATCTGTCCGCACTTGACAGTACAGTTTGTGGACCCGGGACACCTGTCCACACTTGACAGTGCAATCTGTGGATTCGGCCACTGTGCACGATCGCTGCTCGACAACTGGATGGTGCCCCGACCTCGGTGCCTAGTCATGGGGATGGGGCCCGGGTGGGGACCATGTGTCCGCACATGACAGTACAATGTGTGGATTGCCTCGTACACGAACTGCAATGAACAGCACCGCGCGGCACTGGGAACATGAGGGAAGATGAGGAGGGAGGGCGAGAGAACGAGAAGGGAGGGATTTCAGAGGGCCCCAACACGCCTCCAAGGAAGGTCGATTCGATGTGGGGAAACGAGCGACATCTCCCTACCTCTGTGAGGCCCTCCAGGGACTGTCTTGGGGCACCCTTGGGTCCCTTATTGGGTCTTTCTGGGAGCCCAGCCGACAACCGACGAGCGCGAGAGCACGGATGAGCAGCACGTTGCGCATGCCGAAGCCAGCGCGAGGTCGGACTGGTGTCCACATCCTTCTTGTTGACCCCCTCCTTCTCCATCTCACCTCCACCTCACTCCTCGCGTTTGTCCTCCTCGTCGCGCCAAAGGGGCCCAATACAGCCCAACAGGGAACAGGGCCTGAAAACGACCAGGGACGTGTTACAGACGCCCTGCTTCCCTCCTTCCCCCATCATCCCTCATTGTTGCCCCTCCACCGCCCCACAGTCGCCGAAACCATGATACCATTCAGGGCGTCGATGATATGTTATATAATGGGCGATGCTGATGCCCTTATGCTCAGCAATGTTTGAGTGCACGCACCATGGCAATGGCATGGAGATTGTGTCAATGCTGTGAAATCAACTGATATGCAATACCTATACTCTGCGATGAGGGCCCGGAGAACTACGTTATTGATAATGCAATCGGCCTAAAGTGTTATGTTTTCTGTTGCTGCAGACGACATGCTCCAGGCTGCAATCCGCAGATTGGCAGAATCTGCGGACAGTTGTGTCGGCCGCCATGTAACGGCTCTAGATCCAGGTCCCAACAACAACCCAAATCCTGGCCTTTTTCCCGGACAGGGCTTAGGCACAGGGTTCTATTTTAGAGGTTTACCCCCAGATCTGACGGCTGATGGGCCGGCGAATTTCTTTTGCGATAAATAACGAGGTCGCGAAGGGCCAGCGAATTAAATTTTGAGGATGTCTCGAGCGAAACGCTTGTTGTTCAGAATTTGTTGAGGATGTCTCGAGCGAAACGCTTGTTTTGTGTTGTAGAGTGTCTTCTCCTGGGGACCAGAATTTAGAGAATCTCTCAAGTGAAATGCTTGGCTTCAAGTGCCCAGGTCTTGAGGATGTCTCGAGCAAGACGCTTGGTTTCACGCTTCCAGGTTGCCCAGGCAGAGGTCAAGCGCCAGGATTTGTTGAGGATGTCTCGAGCGAGACGCTTGGTTTCACGCGTCCTCGTCGCCCAGGCGGATGTCTAGAATGAGGAGGTGTTGAGGAAGTCTCGATCGAGATGCTTGTTTGCACGTGTCCAGGTTGCCCAGGCGGATGCCTAGCATGAGGATGTGTTGAGAATGTCTCGAGAGATACGCTTGTTTTCACGTGCCCAGGTCGCCCAGGCGGATGTGTAACACGAAGATGTGTTGAGGATGTCTCGAGCGAGACGTTTGCTTTCACGTGTACAGGTCGCCAAGGCGGATGTCTAGAATGAGGAGGTGTTGAAAACGTCTCGAGCGAAACGCTTGCTTTCACGTGCCCAGGTCACCCAGGCGGACGTCTCACATGAAGATGTGTTGAGGATGTCTCGAGCGAACTACTTGTTTTCACGTGTCCAGTTCGCCCAGGCGGATGTCTAGCATGAGAATGTGTTGAGGATGTGTTGAGCGAAACGTTTGTTTTCACGTGTCCAGGTCGCTCAGGCGGATGTCTAGAATGAGGATTTTGACAGGATGTCTCGAGCGAAACGCTTGTCCCCAGCACGTTCCGTAGCGCGTCCCCTTGGCACGTCCCGCGGTGCGTCCCCATGGCACGTCCCCTGGCATGTCGCCTGGCGCGTCCCTTGAGACGTTCCGCGGTGCGTCCTCCTGGCATGTCCCCCTGTCAATTAGCTCTGCGGCAGATACTATGTGTTCAGGCAGCTCGAGCTTAAGATCCAGATCAGTTCGGTCAGGACTCGGATGCAAAGGAGGACTCGATCCACGACGCTATAGAGCACAACCGCGGCATGGCACATCGCAATTCAGCACGGTGCAGCACAGCACAGCCCTCGGCACGGTACATCAAGATCGATACAATCAGCATTTGCAACCTGGCACGTTCCTTGGCACGTTCCGTGGGGCGTCCCTTGGCGAGTCCCCCTGGCACGTCGCGTGGCGCGTCCCCTGGCACATTCCGTGGCACATCCATTGGCACGTTCCGTAGCGCGTCCCCTTGGCACGTCCTACGGTGCGACCCCATGGCACGTCCCTTGGCACGTCGCTTGGCGCGTCCCTTGGGACGTTTCGCGGCGCGTCCTCCTGGCATGTCCCCCTGTCAATTAGCTCTGGGGCAGCTTCTATGTGTTCAGGCAGCTCGCGCTTAAGATCCAGATCAGTTCGGTCAGGACTCGGATGCAAAGGGAGACTCGATCCACGACGCTATAGAGCACAACCGCGGCATGGCACATCGCAATTCAGCACGGTGCAGCACAGCACAGCCCTCGGCGCGGTGCATCAAGATCGATACAATCAGCATTGCTCTTGCCCGTCACCCAATTAGGTGTCTTTCAAAACGTTGCCACGCGTTACATTTCTATATTCCTTTCCGGGTTCGTGGGTCGATCATGTTGATGATCCAGGGCCCGATGACGGGACCCGGAAGGAACAATGTCAGATCGTGGGAGATTTGGGGGAGTCCCTGGAGGTTCCTGGAGGTTAGCGCAGGCCCCCCCCCCGATCGCAGGAGGATCGAGGTGCCACTCCGGACGATCGAGGTTCGAGGATCGAACATCGGGGGGGAGGAGGAGCATCGACAAAATTGGGACGATCGAGGCTCCAGGATCGGAGATCGAGGGGGAGGAGGAGGGGCGAGCACCCATGAGGAGGCTCCGGATCCAGGCCCGAGGCTCGAGGAGGCGGCCCCCCCTCGCAGGAGGCCATCGAGAACCGGCGCGTGGAGCTGCCGAGGCTGCCCGGCCTGCTCTGGATCGTCTCGGACACGGGCTACGACGTGGAGGCCGTCGGCCCCCCCGCTCGCGCGCGCGGTCGCGCGCGCGGGGCGCGCGCGCGCGAGGCGCGGCGGAGCCCCTCGGCAGGAGGCCTCGAGCGGCACCGGGGTGGCCCGCGAGGGGCGGAGCTCGCTCGGGGGGAGGAGGAGGAGGAGGAGGAGGAGGAGGAGGAGGAGGAGGAGGAGGAGGAGGAGGAGGAGGAGGAGGAGGAGGAGGAGGAGGAGGAGGGCTGATCTCCTACCAGAGAATGGCCACCTGATGATGCATTCATGCGCCAGTGGGATACAGGATGCCGCGGTGGAAACCCCGTCTGCTCCACCTCCCAATCGAATTCGTAAGGATCAAGCTCGCACGCGACAGGGCTCACACGGATGGACCTCACGGGCGCGGAATGGGAACGGATGGAATTCGCACGCGCGGCATTCGCACAGATTGAACTCGCACGCGAGCAGTTCGCACGGCTGAGCTCGCGCAGGCTCGTGACCTTGCCTGGGAGTGTGCCACAGACGGCCAACTTTTTCTCCAGAGCAAAGCTTCGCGGCGTGCAAGTTGCGTTCGTAGAGGTCCCGTCGTCTGCGAGTTCAACTGTGTCTGGTTTTCTTCCGTCATTTGTTGAGTTTCTCTCCCTTCGTGCGAGACCTCGCACGGCGTGCAAGCTCCCCCCTTTTCTGTCGTGCGGGTCCCAATCCCCATGAGACAGTCCCCAATACGTGGCTCACAGGGGGGGCCCAGGTTCAAAGTAAACGGGGGAGGAACACACAACACAGATCAAATTTAACCGTTTCGATCCCTCATGAAACAATATGGGAAATATTGGGAATTGGGAGGAAAGACGAGCACCCAAACGCTACGGAAAGCTAGCGGGAGATATCCGGGATCGTGTGTTTCTATATGTTGGTGTGTATACTTGGGCTCCCCTAACGATTGAAGCCCGAGGGGGCCAGAGATGTCTCACCAGACGACCATCCGCTAGGCGTTGGGCGGACCCAGAAACCCCAGGACGGTTGAAGATCAGCCCCAAGCTGCCCCAAGGCGGCCTCGAGGGCCCCTCTCTGGTGCCCCTTCACTCGGTATCCCCAACGGCCATGGGGGAGCACGCCGTTTTTCCCTTCCCTTCCTCCTCCTCCTCCCCCTCCTCCACCCTTCCTTCCTCCTTCCTCTCTCCTTCCTCCTCCTCCCTCCTCCTTTCCGTCTTCCCTCCCTCCCTCCCTCCCTCCCTCCCTCCCTCCCTCCCTCCCTCCCTCCCTCCTTGAGAAATGAAAGCAGCAGGGTGCCTTTGCCCTAGCTGCTGTTTAAAACAGCGCGTAACGCTGTTCAAACCTTGGGAAGCCCCCAGGCCGCAGAAAGCCCGCAGCCGCTGAAGCGGAGCTAATTAGGCCAGCTGTCAGCACCCAGGGGACCACCACCACCACCAGGAGGGGGAGGGAGGTTGTCAGCGTCGTCGAAGTCCGTCCCGCCGCCCGCCAGGCCGCCGCCCGCCGGAGGGAAAGGGGAGGGAAGGGGGGGAGGACCCAGGTCGGCCCCAGGCGGGGGGCCGCGTCCCCGAGGCCCACCCGCCGAGGCCAGCGAGCGCCTGCATGATGGCCATGCCGAGGCGGCACGCCATCACCTGCAGCTGAGCCCGACGCTGAATCGAGCCCCCGGCAGCCTTAGTGATCCACCCCGTTTTCGCCGTGACACGGGGCTCGGCCCCCCACCAGGCCGGCGCGACCCGCAGTTTCTCCCCGAGTTCGAGCCGACGTCCAGCAAAACGCGGGCACTCGGCCCAAAAGTGCCGAGCCGACGCCTGGGTGTGCCCGCAACCGAAAGGGCAAACGCACGCGCTGCCGTGCCTGCGGGTCGGCGTGCACACGGCCCCGCCCCTCCAAACGGAGAGGAGGTTCGTCTCGTATCGGCCCAGCGATCGCCGGAACTGGGCCCAAGGCGGCGCGCTCTGAACAGCCAGATCGATCTCCCCGATCCCCTCTTCGTCGTGCCACGGCGGGGGCCCAGGCGCCGCCCGGGGGCGAAGGAGCGCCGCCCAGGCGCACCCCCGGAGAACGCGCAGACCCCGATCGGATGAAGCGTCGAAAGCCTTCCGGGGGGGGCGAGGGGTCCCAGGGCACCGGGTTCTCGCTTCGCGGCTGTCAGCGGCGGCTGCAGCGGTGACCGCCGCCGCGGCCCAGGGGTCGAGCCCTGGGGCCAGAAGCAGCCAGACGCCTTCGGGGAGCGACCCGGCGGCAACCGGGAGCAGCCCAAACGCGCCAGAATGCTCCGAGAGCGCCACCGACAACAACCGCGACGCGGGACCCCCCGAACCGCTTTTAGCACAGCGCACGCCGTACCGAAGACAGGGTACAATGAAACCCGCTCGGCGTACCATCGCCGAGCGCACCACCTGGCGGGATCGCGCAGAACGGAGCCGACCACCGATGTTTAGGAGCGATGCGCATCAGGGCCGCGAGCTCCCTGATCCGCTGCCCGCCGGGGACCGTGCGGAGCCGGCGCACCTGGGGGCGGATCTGGTCCCACCCGTCCCGAGGCTCATGCAGCTGGGGCCACGTCGCGGCGTCGCCGACAGCGGCCCGCACTCCTAAGTGTTCGGCGCTCTGGGTGCCCGACCAAACCTGCCGGTTCCGAATGCTCTCCGAAAAGCCAAGCCGCCAGTCGATCTCCGCAGTGATCGCTAAGGCTCGGTCCCGATCAACCGCCGCGGCGGCCTTAATGGAACGGTCGTCCACGTAAGACCACGCGCGCGTCCTGGGCACCGAACGGACCGCGGCGTGCCAGGGGCAGAGCATCAGACTGAGGATGCGGCCCGAAGAAGGGTCGCCGGGCGGCAGGCCCCGAGCGGGGTGTAAAGCAGCAGCAGTGTCCCCGGCCACCGAGCAATATCGGGGGGCCCGCCAGACCGCCTCCATGGTAGCCACGACCGGAGCAGGTACACCTTGGTGCCTGAGGGCGGCGCCTGCGAGACCGTGGTCCACCGAGTCGTAGGCCCGGCTCAGGTCGACCTCGGTTCCCGCGTCGCCGGGTGCGGCGGCCCAGTCAGCCACGGAGGCCACGGTGCCCCTGTCCCCGAACGCCTCGGCAGGGGGCGCGGGAAGCGCGTCGAGGAGGCAACGGCCCCAAGCTCGCATCCAGACCGGCCCGTTCGCGATCGGCCGGGCGTCGTCGGACCCCCGCTTAGGGATGCCGACCACCCGCAAAGCCCCGAAAGCCCGCGCGCGCTCATCTGGCCATGGGCTGGCGCCCCCTTCTTCCACCGTGGCGACGAGGATGGCCCAGAGCTCGTGGAGGAGGCCAGGGCCAGGGAGGTGGTCCGAAAGGCCCTGAACTACCCGTCGAGCCCAGCCGCCCCGTGAGTGTCCCCGAGGGCCCGCTGGAAGGCCACGAAAGAAGAGGGGGGGCGCCAGGCGGGGTTGGCGGGGATTTCGGGGACCCCCCATTCGCGGGCGACGACGACCCAGTCCAGGGGGGCGCCTGCAGAGTCAGGCACCCACCACGGCTCCCACTCCCGCCGCATACCCTCAGCCGAAAAGACTGGGGCGGGCGCGGGTTCCCGCATCGTCCGCGCGGCCGCGGCCGCAGCGCGGGCGCTCCACGTGCGGAACTGAAGCCGCCATGTCTTGAGGGCGCGCTGCTGGGTGACCTTAGCTTCGGCAACGAGCGCCCGGGACAGAGCTTGGGCCGCCTCGCCTAGGGTGCGGGGGAGGGGGCCCTGGAGCAACCCATCCTGGCAGGAAGGGGCCCACTTGCGGGTGACCAGGGGCGGCGGAGGCGCCGCGGTGCCCACGGAACTCGTCGTCCCAGCCGCCACGACCAACCTGTGGAGCCGAAGCAGGCGACGTTCGCGGATCGTGGCCTCGCCCCGCGTGGGCCCACCAGGAACCACGGGCCGCGTTTCGTTCGAAACGCCCTTTGGTCGTTCGGCAGCCCGGGTGACGCTGGTCACGCCTAGGGCGGCTGCCGTCTTCAGCGTGGCCTCGGCGCGCCTGTGCCACCGCGCCAACGCCTCGGTTGCCCAATCGGAAACACTGGAGGAACAGCTAGGCACGGCGCCCCCCCACTCGACAATTATTCAATATGAATGCTACCCTCCTTCTTCCCCTGATGACGTGCTGGGGGTGTTCGCCCCCCCCCCCCCCCGCGTCCGTTTTTTTTTTTTGTTTTTTTTTTGCACAGGATTCCCAGGAGTTGGGTTTTCGTTTTTTTTTTTTTTTTTTTTTTGTTGTGTTGTTTTGTCAAAATGCTGCTCTCGCTGAGGCGCCGGCCTCATTTTCGGGCCCCGCTCGTTCCGAATCGTGCTCCCGCTGCAGCGTGGGTCTCATTTTCGGATCGGTGTTTTGCCTCCGTCGTTCAGGATGGCGTTCTCGCCCCAGCGCGGGCCTCTTTCTCGCGCGCCCATCCGCCCGCCACCACCGCACCGCGCCCCGCCCCGCCCACCGCCACTTCCACCCACCAACGCACGCACGCACGCACGCACGCGCACCGCCACCACCACCCCACTACCCCACCCACCACCACCACGCTACACCGCGTCACACCACATCACACGCGCGCGCACACAGACACACACGCACGTACACACACATACACACACGCACACACACACACACGCACATACACACACACACCACCACCGCCACCACCACCACCACCACCACCACCACCACCGCCATCACGCACGCACGCACCTGGCCCACAACCAAACCACCAAGACGCCACACCACGTCACACCACAGCACACGCGCACGCACGCACACACACACCACCACCACCACCACCACCACCACCACCACCACCACCACCACCACCACCACCACAACCACAATCACAACCACAACCACAACCACAACCACAACCACAACCACAACCACAACCACGCACACACGCACGCACGCACGCGCACCACCACCCACTACGCACGCGCGCGCGGAGCCACAGTCCGCTACGACACGCGTCCGCGGATAGAGAAAATCAGCGCCATGGTAATGGATGGGAGGGAGGGGTAGGACGTCAGATATGACGCGAGCGCACATAGCTTGTCAGCCGCCCCTCCCTCCCTCCCTCCCTCCCTCCTCCTCCTCCTCCTCCTCTTCCTCCTCCTCCTCCTCCTCCTCCTCCTCCTCCTCCTCCTCCTCCTCCCACGCCGTCCATATGCGTGGCCGCGCTCGACATCTCACGACGCAGGCGTTTCCACGAGGCAGGGGACGGTGGTGGCTCGCCGTCGGCGTTTCTGACCCCACCGCCTGGTGTTGACTTCTCACAGGGGTGCTTGGCATGCCGAACTTAGAGCGCTTCTAAGCTTCTAGAACTTAGAGCGCTTCTGGGCTTTGTTTCCCACAATCGCTTTCGCGTCAAGCGCTCTATGTGCAATCCAGCCTCACGACGGCTCAAGAGGTCCCCAGGGCGGCTACCGACCGAGCCAAACGGCCAAGAACGCCTAGGACGGTCAAAGAGCCCCAAGATGGCCTTAGCAGTCCATTAGTGCAGCCGGTGCGACCGCAGTTTCGCTCGACCTTTTACGACGGGCGTTTCCACCTGGCATGTTGCGGCGGTGACTCGCAGTAGGTGCATTCGACGTTGTCATGCCTGTTACAGGCGTATGGTTAAATTCGCAGTGAGATGTGCTATGCTGTGGTATGTGATGTTTAGTCGTGCTGGCCCTACAACCATAGGGTAACACGCATTCTGGAAACAGCGACGATGTCGACGTTATGTTTTGCTATGTTACGGGATGAGGATCTACGCTGTGATGGTCATGTCATACGAGCGCTACGGTTTGACAACGATATAGCGTGCTACGCTTTGGTATGCTATGAGTCGCAATGGAACGTAGTATCATATGTGTCGCTGGTTGCACGCCATGTCAGCGTAATGCTTCCAACCGGGGTTGACATCCAAGGTGAATGCCTGTGGTCTGAGTTTCAGTTGATACGATTGGTCCTGTCAGATGAGGCCCCCCCCTGAGATCCGACGTAGCGAAAAAGTTGCAGCATCCTGAAAAATCACACCCAGAGCCCTACTCCGATTTTTGCGTCATTTTCCAAGCCGGAACCGCTCCGTGAGGGCCCGAAAAGAGGCAAAAGCGCCGCCGGGCTCGCAGTAGTTGGGACGCCTGGATCTCAGGGCCCGGCCCTGCCATCGGAGATTTCGCCCAAGAGGGACGTCCCTCTGTGGCTCGTCCTTCTCTCCACGCTCGGTCCGGGGCGGCCGTCGCGCCGGACTGCCGGCCACCTCTCTGGTCCACGTGCGAAGGGAGGTGTCGCGGCGCGGGGGGTGCGAGGGGGGGGGGTTAAGCTCATGTCCCAGGGATTGCACAGGATTCGCGGAGAGGTTGCACAGGACGTGAGCCCAGAGGGCTGCCAGGACTGATCGCCGGAGAGATTTGCGCTTACCACCGTGGGAGGTTCAGCGCGCGCCCAGCATCGGTCAGGAGGGGAACGAACACACAGACACAATTAATCGTCGAGTCCAAGGAAAATATTGGAAAATATGGGAAGTGGGGGGGAAGACAAAAACCCAGAAAATATAGGAAAATATTTGGCATATTTTTACCTAACAGCGAAGACTGATAGGTTTCTAGTTGACTCAAAAGAGCTCACAGATCACTCCACAGGGGGGTCCGGGCAGGCGTTGGGAGTTGCCGGCCGGGCCTGTGCCGGGCTCGTTTTTCACCAACAGTCACACACTTCGTGCTCGTCGACCTCTCAGAACCCCATTCCCAGGCCACATTCTGAATAACCGGATGCAACAGTCACACACTTGGTGCTCCTTGACCTCCCAGAACGCCATTCCCGGGCCACATTCGGAATAGCCGGACGCAACAGTCATATAATTCCTCGTGCTTGACACCCCAGAACTCCATTCCGGGCCACATTCTGAATGCCCGGAGCCAACTGTAGGCCACTTCGTGGTCTTCGAGTTCCCAAAACTCCATTCCCGGCGTACATTTTGGATGCCCGGAGCCAACTGTAGGCCACTTCGTGGTCTTCGAGTTTCCCAGAACTCCATTCCCGGGCCGCATTTTGGATGCCCGGAGCCAACTGTAGGCCACTTCGTGGTCTTCGAGTTCCCAGAACTCCATTCCCGGGCCACATTTTGGATGCCCGGAGCCAACTGTAGGCCACTTCGTGCTCTTGGACTTCCCAGAACTCCATTCCTGGGTATGATTTTGAATGCCCGGAGCAAACTGTAGGCCACTTCGTGTTCTTCGAGTTCCCAGAATTCCATTCCCTGGCCACATTTTGAATGCTGAGGCAGGCTGATGCTGAGGCTGAGGCAGGCTGAGGCAGGCTGAGGCTGAGGCCGAAGCTGAAGGCAGACTCAGGCTGAGGCTGAAGCAGGCTGAGGCTGAGGCTGAGGCAGGCTGAGGCTGAGGCTGAGCAGGCTGATGCTGAGGCAGGCTGAGGCTGAGGCTGAGGCTGATGCAGGCTGAGGCTGAGGCAGGCTGAGGCTGAGGCCGAGGCTGAAGGCAGACTGAGGCTGAGGCTGAAGCAGGCTGAGGCTGAGGCTGAGGCAGGCTGAGGCTGAGGCTGAGGCAGGCAGGCTGATGCTGAGGCAGGCTGAGGCTGAGGCTGAGGCTGATGCAGGCTGAGGCTGAGGCAGGCTGAGGCTGAGGCCGAGGCTGAAGGCAGACTGAGGCTGAGGCTGAAGCAGGCTGAGGCTGAGGCTGAGGCAGGCTGAGGCTGAGGCCGAGGCTGAGGCAGGCTGAGGCTGAGGCTGAGGCTGATGCAGGCTGAGGCAGAGGCAGGCTGAGACTGAGAGCCGAGGAGGCTGAGGCAGATTGAGGCTGAGGCCGAGGCAGGCTCAGGAGGCTGAGGCAGGCTGAGGCTGAGGCAGGCTGAGGCTGAGGCAGGCGAGGCTGAAGGCAGGCTGAGGCTGAGCCTGAGGCTGAGGCAGCGAGGCTGAGGCTGAGGCTGAGGCAGGCAAGCAGGCTGAGGCTGAGGCTGAGGCTGATGAGGCTGAGGCTGAGGCAGGCTGAGGCTGAGGCTGAGGCCGAGTGACTGAAGGCTGAGACTGAGCTGAGGCAGGCTGAGGCTGAGGCTGAGATGCAGGCTGAGGCTGAGGCTGAGGCTGAGGCCGAGGCTGAAGGCAGACTGAGGCTGAGGCTGAAGCTGAGGCTGAGAGGCTGATGAGGCAGGCTGAGGCTGAGGCTGAGGCAGGCTGATGCTGAGCCAGGCTGAGGCTGAGGCTGAGGCTGATGCAGGCTGAGGCTGAGGCAGGCCGAGGCTGAGGCCGAGGCTGAAGGCAGACTGAGGCTGAGGCTGAAGCAGGCTGAGGCTGAGGCTGAGGCAGGCTGAGGCTGAGGCTGAGGCAGGCTGAGGCTGAGGCTGAGGCTGATGCAGGCTGAGGCTGAGGCAGGCTGAGGCTGAGGCCGAGGCTGAAGGCAGACTGAGGCTGAGGCTGAAGCAGGCTGAGGCTGAGGCTGAGGCAGGCTGAGGCTGAGGCTGAGGCTGAGGCTGAGGCTGAGGCTGAGGCTGAGGCTGAGGCTGAGGCTGAGGCAGGCTGAGGCAGGCTGAGGCTGAGGCTGAGGCAGGCTGAGGCTGAAGGCTGAGGCCTGAGGCTGAAGCAGGCTGAGGCTGAGGCTGAGGCAGGCTGAGGCTGAGGCTGAGGCTGAGGCAGAGCTGAGGCTGAGGCTGAGGCTGAGGCTGAGGCTGAGGCTGAGGCTGAGGCAGGCTGAGGCTGAGGCTGAGGCAGAGGCTGAGGCCGAGGCTGAAGGCAGACTGAGGCTGAGGCTGAAGCAGGCTGAGGCTGAGGCTGACGGCTGAGGCTGAGGCTGAGGCTGAGGCTGATGCAGGCAGGCTGAGGCTGAGGCTGAGGCTGAGGCAGGCTCAGGCTGAGGCAGGCTGAGGCTGAGGCCGAGGCTGCAGGCAGACTGAGGCTGATGCAGGAGCAGGCTGAGGCTGAGGCTGAGGCAGGCTGAAGCTGAGGCTGAGGCTGATGCTGAGGGCTGAGGCTGAGGCTGAGGCTAATGCAGGCCACTGCGACTGTCATCGCGAATGCGACTACGACTGCGAGAACAGCAGAACTCTACAACTGGATTCTCATCTGAATCTTAAGGGGGATGCTTCCAGATATGCTCCTACACATCGCTGTTAGGTTGCTTTGCCGGGATAATTATTTGTGTGTATTTATTTAATCGCTTCGCTCATTCTGCCGGCCCTGGAGCCATCTTTAGGGCCTCTTGGGGACCCCTTGGGAGTCTCTTGGGGCTCCTTGGCGGCTTCTTGGGGGGCCCCAGGGCCTCTTGGGGGGCTCTTGGGGGCTTCTTGGGGCGGGAGGGGGGGTAGTCGATTGCGGCTCCCCCCTCGGAGGCCACGATCCTCGTGAGGGGTGTCGAAAAATTGCCCGCTCCGGCATCTCTGACCCGAGTCTGCCGGGACCCTGCCGGGGTACTCTTCGCCCGAAGACGCCCAGGGGCGGCCCCGCGCGCGCGAACTAGAATATTGTTAACCAGTTACCGGAGATCTTAGCACGCCTCTGGCCCGTTGGGCCGGCGAATTTGTGTGTCCTTGGGCTCCTTCAATCGGCTCCGCAGACACGTGCTCGAGCAAGCGACACCTGGTGACTCGCCCGCTTCAGCGCAACAGACTCCCCCTGGGGCTGCGAGGTGCCCCCTGCCTTCTCGACCACCCCGCGTGGTGGACTTCGCACGACGGAGGCGACGGCCATGTCGCTGAGCAGCTGCACCATCACGGGCCCCAACGACGAGGCGGTCGAAAAAGAAAGCAGGGCATACACAGACTTTTGGAGCTCCGCGTGGAACTCCTGGCTCGGTGCCTGACCCCCCCGCCTTCCTGGCGCGCGGAGCGCGCCGGGGGCGGCGCCGGAGGCGCCGCCAGGGGGACCCAGCGCCGATCCGAGGGAGCCGCACAGAGCTCCAGAAGTTTCTGATGATTGTGCCGTTTGTTCTCTTCCTCGTCAGGCCGGCGGCCCCGTTGCCGCCGGCGGTATCGCGCGCTGGGTGCTGGGCAACAACGGCCCCGCGGCGTGGCCCGCTGGCACCACCCTGCGCCTGGTGGGCGGGCCCGTGGTGCTCTGCCCGGTCGTCGAGGTGCCTCCTGTGCCTGCGGGCCAGACGTGCGACGTGGAGCTCGAGGTCGTGGCACCGGATGAGCTCAGGGGGGAACGACGTGCCGATATCCAGCTGCCTGCGGCAAGTCCCGCTACTGTGCCAGCCCACCGTGCAATCGCGACATTCTGCGTGTCGACTGTTGTTCGAGGGGGCACGGGAGCTCGTCACGTGTGGCACGTCGTGTCTGCAGGCTTGGGAGACCCGAGATGACGGTGATGAGGATTACGAGGATGATGGGGGTGATGATGAGGATGAGGATGGGGATGACGATGGGGATGACGATAGGGATGATGATGATGATGATGATGATGATGATGATGCTGATGATGATGACGATGATGATGACGATGATGATGATGATGATGATGATGATGATGGTGATGGTGATGGTGATGATTGTGATGATGATGCTGGTGATGATGATGATTCTTGTGGTGGCGGTGGTGATGATGATGGTGATGGTGGTGGTTGTGGAGGTGGTCATGGTGGTGGTAGTGGTGGTGATGCTGCTGCTGGTGATGATGATGCTGCTTCTGAAGATGATGCTGCTGCTGATAATGATGCTGAGGAGGATGTCGATGCTGACGATGATGGTGACGATGATGATGCTGCTGATGATGATGCTGATGATGAGGATGCCGAGGATGATGACGATGATGAGGATGATGATGAGGATGAGGATGACGATGATGGTGGTGATGGTGATGATGGTGGTGGTGATGTTGATGATGATGTATATGACGATTGTTATGATGATGTTGATGATGATGATGCTGATGATGATGCTGATGAAGCTGATGATGACGATCTTAATGATGTCAATGTTGATATCTGATGCTGATGCCTGTGCTGCAGATATTGTTGATTGTGATGATGGTAATTATGACGATGACGATGATGATGACGATGATGATGATGATGGTAATGATGGTAATGATGGTAATGATGATGATGATGATGATGATGATGATGATGATGATGATGATGATGATGATGATGTTGATGCTGATGTTGATGATGCTTATGACGATGATGACGACGGCGATAATGATGATGCTGGTTATGATGATGATACTGATGATGATGCTGATGACGATGACGATGATGATGGCTAGGATTGTTGTCGTTGTTGCTGCTGATGATTAGCATGATGATGACGACGATGATCATGCTGATGACGATGACGATGACCATGGTGATGATGGTGATGATGGTGGTGGTGATGTAGACGATGATGCTCATGACGATTGTAATGATGATCATGATGTCGATGATGCTGATGAATCTGATGATGCTCATTATTATGCCAATGTTGATGCTGATGCTGATGCCTGTGCTGCTGCTGTCGATGATTGCGATAGTGATGATGACGATGATGATGACGATGACGATGACGATGATGGTGATGATGCTGCTGATGATATTGATGATGCTGATGATGCTGATGATGCTGATGACAATGATGATGATGATGATGATGATGATGATGATGATGATGATGATTATGGTAATGATTATGACGATGATGATGCTGATGATGCTGATGATGCTGATGATATGGATGCCAATGACGACGACGACGACAATGATGGTTATGAGGTTGAACATGGTGATGCTGATGATGCTGATGCTGATGATGATGACGAGGATGATGATGACGATGATGATGGCGATGCTGATGATGATGCTGATGATGATGATGAGGATTATCGCTGATGGTGATGATGGTGATGGTGATTGTGATGGTGATGATGATGATGATGATGATGATGATGATGATGATGATGCATGATGCATGATGCATGATGCATGATGATGATGATGATGATGATGATGATGATGGTGGTGGTGGTGGTGGTGGTGGTGCTGCTGCTGATGATTAGGATGATGATAATGATGATGATGCTGCTGATGATGATGGTGCTGGATCTGGTGCTCGTGCTCGTGCTCGTGCTCGTGCTCGTGCTCGTGCTGGTGTTGGTGGTGCTGACGAGAATGAGGATGCGGAAGAGGGGGGAGGAGGAGGAAAAGTACGGCCGTGGCAATTGACACCTTTCGTCTTCACGATTTCAGGATTTCTCATGGAGCTCGGTTGGGCTTCCTTGGGGCTGTGTTGACTTTTGGGCTGTCTTGGGGCCCTCTTGGCTGAATGGCGGATGGCTTGGGGCCGTTCTGGGGTTGTCTTGGCGCCGTCTTGGGCACTCGAAGGGCTTTCTACAGCCGTTTTGTGTCCCAGAGGATGCCTTCTTGGGCAGTCTTGGGGCTGTCTTGGATGCCTCTTGGGCCCTCGTGGGGTCATCTTGGACCATCCCTGGACCCTCTCGTGGGTGCCGCTTGGGCCGCCTTGGGGCCATCGTGGAGGCTTCTAGGGCCGTCTTGAGCTGACGGTAGCCCGAAAAGGCGGGACTGCGAGCACCATTGAGTCATTTTGCTTCGAGCGATCCCCACCGACACCTTAAGCTTTTGTTCCCGGCGGCGCGCGGCCGCCTAATTGGTCGACAGCTGTCGTTTCTGGATTCAAGAACGGTTCAACCGTGTTCCATGTAGTCACGCTCTTTCACGTTATGCTTTATTATGTCTTGTTCTGTTCTCGACGGGCCGTCGAGGCGTCGTGACGCCTGTGACGTTAGGTGCGTCGTCTGATATGATGTTCTTCTTCACTTATGTTTATGTGATGTTATGTTCATCTCTGTCACCCTACGATTCGAGATATTATGGTACGAGCTGCTTTATGGCACCATGTTCTGACACGAAATGTGATGTCAGGTTTGTTCTAGTATGCTTTGTTCCGTGATGCTGTTGGCAGCTCTGCTCAGTAGTATTGTAGTGACCTCCGTCCAGTGCCGCCGATCCGGGGACGCTCCGACTGATGTGATCCTCCTTCCTCTCTTTTTCCCTCCCTCCGCTTCTCACTCTGCATTTATCGAAGACGCCTACGGCGAATCACCGCCGCCCCCTGCCCTTTCGGAAGCGCCGATGCGGCCGACTGCTGTGGCCAGAGGTCTGCCAAGTTGTTGGGCCATATGTTCCCCGAATCGGTCTTTACAGCCTTCGGGAAACACGTGGGGGAGGACGGGGAGGAGAGGAGAGATAGGAAGGGGGGGAATGGAGGAGGAGGTCTCTTGAGTGCCTTTTTGGCTACTCTGGGTTTATATTGGGCCACATGTGCGGTCTTGGAAGCATCTTGGGGGCCTCTTTGGATGCCTTGCGGCCTTCCTGTTCTGCCTGACGCCGTCTTTTGCCGGCCTTTTGGGCCGTCTGAGACCATCTTGAGGCCATCTTGGGCCATCTTGGACCGTCTTGGGTGCATCTTGGAGCCATCTTACCCGTCTTGGAGGCCATCTTGGCCGTCTTGGAGGCATCTTGGAGGCCATCTTGGGCCATCTTGGCCGTCTTGGAGGCCATCTTGGGCGTCTTGGAGGCCTCTTGGGCCGTCTTGAGGCCCTCTTGGGGCCTTCTTGGGGGCCTCTTGGGCCGTCATGGGGCCATCTTGGAGGCCTCTTGGGTGCTGTTGGGGCGATGTTGGGGACCTCTTGGGCCGTCTTGGGCCGTCGGAGAGCTGAAAAGAAGAACATGCCAAAATCCTTGAAAAACCTAAGGAAAATCAATGATTTTAACCTATTCGGGCCTTCCTGGAGGGCGTCTTGGAGGGCTCTTGGGCCGTCTTGGAGGCCTTTTGCGGGCCTTTTGGGCCGTCTTAGACCATCTTGAGGCCATCTTGGGCCGTCTTGGGTGCATCTTGGAGCCATCTTACCCGTCTTGGAGGCCATCTTGGCCGTCTTGGAAGCATCTTGGAGGCCATCTTGGGCCATCTTGGCCGTCTTGGAGGCCATCTTGGGCCAAGTTGGGGCAACAAAGGCATTGACAGATGGATTTTCGGAAACTTGCGGGTGGCCGGCGGGACGGGCCGAAGCCCACTGGGGAGTTCTTTTAGAAAAAGAACCAAAACCAAAACCTGAAACATCCAGCACGCCGTGCACCCTTGTGGCAAGACCACAGGGGGCGGCGGATCTAGTGGCCTTCGGCCTATCCCGCCACCGTGCCTGGGTGGTGGGTCAGAGGCCTCATGGATGTTGGTTGGGATCTCGTGGTTGGCCTCTTCGGGGCCTCTGGGAGGCAGTTTTGAAGCCCCCCCCGGGCCTCTTGGGCAGTTGCGGGGCTTCTTAGGGCCACTTTGGGGCCTCTTGCGGGCCTCGTTAGGGCCTCTTGGAGCTTTTTGGGGGCCCCTTGGGAGCTTCTTGGGGCCTCTTGGGGGCCTCTTGGGACCTTCTTGGGGCGGGAGGGGGGGTTACTCGAGTTCGGGACCCCCTCGGAGGCCACGATCCTTGTGAGGGGTGTCAGGAAATGCCCTCTCCGGCGATACGCGGGTAGCTGCGACAAGCCCTAGGAGCGCCCCCGGAAAGCGGAGCACAATTCGTCCCCCCCCCCCCCCCTCCCCCCCTTCCCCGGCAGAGCCCCCCCGCCCCCCCCCAGCAGAGCTGAAGCTCAGGCTGTACGCTGTAGGCTGTAGCTGAGGCTTCTTCAAACTCACACGCCGGATCGGCGGATATTATGACCTGCCCTGCTAGTCTATTTCTCCATGCTTTGCTGTCACGTTATGATATGTGATGCTGTCATGGTATGATATTACATGTTTTGTCATGGTGTGTCATGCTATGCTTGGTCCTGTTCTGCTATGTTGTGTTATGTCGTATTCTCTCCTGTAATGGTCTCCTCTGGTATGTTCTGTGATGTTCTGTTTGTTGACAGCTCGGCTCTGTGTAGTATCGAGTGTGTGTGTGTGTGTTGGAGGCAAACTAGCCTCAAAAGCTAAACTCCCGAACCTCCGATAATACTCTGATTCAGCTCTGATGCACCTCTGGCCCAGAACTCTGTTTCATTTCTGATTTGTTTGAAACTCTGATTCAACTCGGGTCTGAATTCTGATTTCACTCTGACTCGGCTCTGTCCCCAGCCAGAGCTAAATCAGAGTCAGATCAGAGTTCCAGACCAGAGCTTAATCAGAGTTTCAGCTAAGCCAGAGAGATGAATTAGAGTTT